AACTGGAAACAGAGTGCCACCTGCCATAACTAAGTTGGCTAAAGAACTGGGACTTGGTGTTGCAGAGCTTATGGATCAAGCAAAGGTTAGTGTTTTTCGGCCAATTATATTTTCACCTGTTTGCTCATCCGTCCAGCCTTCTGCCTCTGCTGGAGGGTCCGAGGGGCCCGTCCAGCCTTCGTCTGTCTTGCCTGGAGGGTCCGAGGGGCCCGTCCAGCCACCTGCCTCGTCTGGTCCAGCCTCCGAGTCTTCAGCTTCGCCTGGTCCAGCTTCAGACTCGTCATCCTCCCCTGCAGCGGACTCCACTTCAGCCTCTGCGGCGCCTGGTCCTGCGGCTGCCACGCCGCCGTCCAGACCACATCCTGCGCGTCAACATCGCCGGCCTCCTTCCGGGCCTCTGAGTGGACATCATCGCCGTCGTGGACGGCCCCCTGAACTACATCGCCGCTGTTGCCTGAACTGTTTTTTGGACTCTTGGACCGGCCCCCTGAACTGCCCGGGTTTGGACTCTTGGGCCGTCGACCTCCGGGCCGGCCCCCTGAACTTTCTGGGAACTGTTTTTCCTGGCCGCCTGCGCCTGTCGTGAGCCTGTTTTTGTTCTGTTGTTTTCCGGGCTCCAGTGTTTTTGCTTTTTTTTTGTTTCTGGCTCCTTGTGTTTAGTTTGTTTTGAGTTTGAGTTTCTAGTTGCTGTCTCTCTGTGTCCAGTCAGTCTGTGTCTATAGTTCAGTCTGTGTTATGTTTCCTGTTTTACTTTGAAAATCCGTGTCTCATGTAAATGTGTCTGGTTTTGCTTCCTTTGTCTCGTTAGGCCTGATTTGCCCCAGCTGTGTTTCCCTCCTGTTACCCATTCCCTGATTGCTCCCTCTGTGTATTTAAGCCCTGTGTTTCAGTTTGTCTGTGTTGTGATCTACCCTTATCTAGCTGTGTGTTTTGTCTGCCTGTGTAAGTTATTTGGATTCTTACGTTTGTTCTGTTTGAGTTATCATTAAAGCTGTTTGAGTTTACGTTTGTCTCTGGAGTCTGCACTTTGGGTCCTTTTCCTTCCTGCACACAGCTGTCACATAACAAGCTAAGTCTGATCGATGCCACAAAGGAAAACATTCTGTGCGATGCATGTTTTTATTAAACATTTGAACATAATACAACACAAACACTTGTAGAGGATATAAAGTCAGAGAGATACATGTTTTAAAACGACAAGGAGCAGGCGCATCTAGTTCACGTAGAGCGGCTGCAAAACAACGACATACAAGTAGAGCCCAGCAGGCAGCACAACAAATTTTGGATCCTTCGCTCTTAGTTAGCGGTGAGCGCAGTACATGCCACGTCTGATGTGAAAGGGCCTTTATGCTGCGCAGTGTGACTCACAGCGATGGTCCTAGGTCTGCCCTGAGTTTGTGTTAAAGTAATACTAAATTAATAATGGTATTTCTGACCATTTGTATA